AGTTGGGAAGCAACTGTGGCAGGAGGAGGAGCTTGGTGCTCGCTTCTTGCGGTGCTTGGGATTCGGGGCAGTTGTCTGATCGCCACACCTTTTAAGTAAGTCCGGCTGCTCGCCGTCCTCACGGACTGGTCGGCTCGGTGGAGGCGGTGGCGGCGGGCAGCAGGCGGGGCAGCAGCAGGGGCGTGGCCGGGCCCTGAGCCCTCCCGGGGCTGGCTGCCCGCGGCCCCTGGGGTGGAGGCTCCGCATGGGGAACAAGCTGACCTGCTGCCTGAAGCCCGGTGCCAGCCCCCGGCTGCGCTGGCGCTCTGGGCGGGTGAGCCGGGAGGATGAGTCTGATGTCTGTGCGGCGGGTGCCGGGAACTCGGGGGCGGCACCCTCAGCCGCCACTGCCCCGGGACCTGCCGAGCTGGATCTCCGAGCCTGCGAAGGCCGCCGCGTGCTGCACCTCTGCGACCTGGAAATGCCCGAAGGTAAGGAGGCGTCAGGGGTTCGCTGCTCTCCACTGACCCCAGGAGGGAGCCCCCACCTCAGGCTCCTTCTTGCCTGGGGCTGGCTTTCCAGAAGCTGGCTCTTCCTGGCGTCCCGGCCCCTTATTCTTTCCCCGTCATGTCAGCCAGGTCCTTTCCCCGTGCACAACCCAAACGCCCAGTTCTTTCTTCTGTTCCCAACGCAGCCTGAGACACTCCAGTCGTTGGCCCTTCCTGTTCATGGCTCTGTTTAATGTGTCGTGGGACTCTGTGAAGACTTTTGGATAAATGTTCTCCTTTTTTGCAATGAAAACTCTAATACCCCAACTTCAGAGTATCCATCCCATCTCCCTCTCCTTACCTGTCCATATTGTACTTAAGTGAAGGAACAGGGTAGGGCCTGGTGATACCCTTGCTCCCACCTAAGGTAGTTGAAACTAGGGACAGTTCAGCTGCCAGATTTTAGGATTTGTTATTTAAATTCAAAATAGATAACTGACAGAATCTATGTGGTGTTCTTAAGTAGGCTGTTTTCAGTTGCCTGGATAGAAGCTGCTTTACTCCTTCCAACTATAATTTGAACACAGAAGGAAATGATGGGAGAGGGAACTTAAACTTACTGAATGATGTGAAATGTTACTGCCAGTGCTACAGAGAATAGTTTTTTTGCTTGTTTTTTTACACGAAGAAGAACCCACAGAGTTCTGATTACTTTATATATCCACTTTCACACAGTATGTCTTCAGTGACTTAACAGACTTCACTTTCCTAATGCCTGTTTTAAGGGAGGGGTGGGGTGGTTCACAAGAGTGTTGGTCAAAAGTTTCAAAAGAGAAGAACACAGATTTAGACTTTAATTTGTAACATGAAGTCTTGGGAATTAAGACACCAGATCCTGCACAAGAATGTTTGTCTCCATGGCTCCTTCTAGGTCCTCTCCCCTCCTACCAGTAGATTCCTGTTTAACTGTAAGAATGTTGAGGTAAAAGTTCTGAAGACCAGATGCCTAAAGTGGGGGGAGGGGGGAGAAGAGTGGGGAGAGGGAGGAAAGAGGAAATATTTGGTTTAAAACAATTTTGGGTAACAATGTAGCTAATGAAGACTGTGTTTTCAGAAGTAGAAAGCATTCATTCACAAATATGTTAAAACCCCATTGATCCATTTGTTTCATTTAAATGCCAGAGATTATTTTATTATTTCATAGAGAAAATGTATTATAGCTCTTATTCTATTTAAACTTTAGTTGAGCTTTTAATTTCTTTAAAAGAATGATGAAGCCTGTGAATTCACTTGGATGGTGGATATGGCTTTGCAATGGAAAAGTACTCCCTTTTCAGAATATTAAAATATTGTGGGGAAAAATTAAAATATTGTGAAAAGGTACAAATTATGTGAATTAATTAATTGTACCTTTAAACACAAAGCAAGTGAGCACCTGTGAAAACTTCTCTCTGCTTGGTTCTGTAAGGTAAGCCTCTGTCTGAGTTATTTTATAAACCAGTTAGTATATGAGTAGTGTTGGATGGGAGGCCAAAATAGGACCTTTATAGAATTCTTTTAAGATTTACAGCTCACTTCCATGTATATCTCATTTGGCTCTTCTAACTGCAAATAAGACCTGTGTATATTATCCCTCTATTGCTGCCGAAGAAACCAAGACTTAGAATGTGAAGTGACTGATAGATGTGCAAAATTTAAATTTTGTGATGCTTAAAACACTCTTTTAGAACGCAGCTTATATTTTATAATTTCTCCACAAAGTGAGCCTATTTTAACTTCCTCCAGTCTTGATTATTCCCATGTGAAATTATTGTATACAACTCAGAAGTCACAGTTACTCCATCCTGTGTCTATAAATTCATTACAATGGATAAGAATAAAATTAGAAGTCACGAAATAGCATGAATTTACCAGGTTAATGGTTGATATATTTTGAAGTTTGTTCTGACAACCTCAAATTGAAGCTGATAGTGCTTTGGACATAGAGGGGCTTTGCAAGAAGCTGGTAAGAAGACAGGTCAAGTAACAAGGATTAAACATAAGCTTATAATAAGTAATGTTCAATTAGAAGAGTTCATAAGTATAGAATTTACCTTTTGATGTTTATTATGATAGATTTTTATTTCAATTTGTTTTTAATTTTGGGGGGCATTCAATAAAGTGATATGAGAAACCTCAATTTCAGCATTTGCCTGTTATTAAGTTTCCATAGAAACAAGATAAAAATAACAAATGTAAGTACAAGCACATTGGAAGATTGCTTTTAATGTCTTTATTTCAGACAATTTTATATTGGTTTCCCTGGAAACTAGGAAATACCTACTTAGATATAAAGCATTCCGACTTTTCTATGATGGAGAATTGAAGTATTTGGTTACTTACACAAAATCACACTTGAATGATGCTCTGCCTTGTTTTTTCAGAAACAGAACATGGTTTCTTTAGGTCATTTCCAGGAGATATTCTTAAGAACTAGTACAGATTTCAGACAGACTTAAAAGAATTTGTCACCCTGCCTTTATCTAATAGTATATTTAATATAACTGATGGTGGCATCAGTAACACAAAAAGGACACTAAGGTCCCGTCATCCAATTTGATTATTACTCACCAACTGCTCACACAGCCTTTTATGCTCTGACCTTATGAGCTTTGCTAATTTGCTGGCTAAAGGTGCTCTCTCAAGTGACCCCCTTTCTCCCTCTGGCCCTGAGGAGTGAGTGGGGAAGGAATTGGCAGTATTTTGTGGAAAAACCTCTGTGCAACAGATCTTTACTCTNGGAAAAACCTCTATGCAACAGATCTTTACTCTTTCCAGAAGCTACTTTAAACCCTCTTTTTTGTGTGTGACAATATTAATAAGCCTTTGGGGTAAAAGATTGGAAAATACAGAAAAGTCATTCACTTATGCTGAGAATACCCAGAACTTTTATTAAAATTTTGATGTTTATTCTTTGTGAACCTTTTGTATGCGTATAAACGTAACATTTTCTTTTACAAAAATGAGGTCGCCGTTTCTGTGCTGCTCTATAACTTTGTTATAAAGAGATGTAATGACATAAAGCTCCTGGAACTGCGCTTGACCCCTAGAGGGCGCTCCAGGATGTATTTTGAGGCAACTGGGTGGTGCTCTCCTGCAGTTCTTTAATAAACTGTTCATGTACCTTCAAAAGGCTGGAGCATCATTCAGTTATCCAGCCTTCATGATGNTTTCTGTGCTGCTCTATAACTGTTATAAAGGGATGTAATGACATAAAGCTCCTGGAACTGCGCTTGACCCCTAGAGGGCGCTCCAGGATGTATTTTGAGGCAACTGGGTGGAGCTCTCCTGCAGTTCTTTAATAAACTGTTCATGTACCTTCAAAAAGCTGGAGCATCATTCAGTTATCCAGCCTTCATGATGGGCCATCTTTCAAAGTGGAACCGTACAAAATCCCAGTATAAAGCTTTATTCTGGGGACACCGATAAAACATGCATTGTAACTACCTATAGAATTCAGATGGTATACTTTCTTATAACTTAATTTTGATGTCATTTTGCAGTTAAGGTATTTTAATGTTAAATGTTCTTAACCCAAATTAAAGTCACAATTGGTTTTTCACTGGACATTAGAACTTCTCTTTAGGTTTATGTGGTTCTTGTGTCTTTAATTCTGAATAACTACTACTCTGAGATCTGAAAGAAGTGATCTTAGATGACAAATCAAAAGATCACATTGGATGAAATTTTAGAAGATATAAGAGTGTTGGGAGAAAGTTAACTGGCTTGGGGTACACTGAAACATGTTTNGCTACTCTGAGATCTGAAAGAAGTGCTGATCTTAGATGACAAATCAAAAGATCACATTGGATGAAATTTTAGAAGATATAAGAGTGTTGGGAGAAAGTTAACTGGCTTGGGGTACACTGAAACAGTTAGATGTTTATTGGGCTTCATACCAGATGCAGGACAAACAGTGATATTCAAGACGAAGCCTCCACCCTAACTCAAGTCCTTACTTTCTAGAGGAGGCTAGGGGCAGACAACACATGAACAGTCAAGAAAATACGGTAGCCCTACCCAGTTTGGTTCAGTGGTTAGAGCATCGGCCCATGGACTGAAGGGTCCCAGGTTCGATGCCGGCTAAGGGCACGNGTTAGATGTTTATTGGGCTTCATACCAGATGCAGGACAAATAGTGATATTCAAGACTAAGCCTCCACCCTAACTCAAGTCCTTACTTTCTAGAGGAGGCTAGGGGCAGACAACACATGAACAGTCAAGAAAATACGGTAGCCCTACCCAGTTTGGTTCAGTGGTTAGAGCATCGGCCCATGGACTGAAGGGTCCCAGGTTCGATGCCGGCTAAGGGCACGTACCTTGGTTGAAGGCTTGATCCCTGGCCCCAGTCGGGGCACATATGGGAGGCAACAAATCAATGTATGTATCTCTCTCACATTGATGTTTCTCTCTCTCTCTCTCTCCCCCTCCCCCTCCCTCTCTCCCCCTTTCACTTTCTGAAAAGCAATGGAAAAATACCCTTGGGTGAGTATTAAAAACAAACAGAGAATTATGTAATCAGGTTGGCTAAAGACAGCTTTTCNTCCTCTCCCTCCCTCTCTCCCCCTTTCACTTTCTGAAAAGCAATGGAAAAATACCCTTGGGTGAGTATTAAAAACAAACAGAGAATTATGTAATCAGGTTGGCTAAAGACAGCTTTTCTCCTCAGTGACACTGAGCCAGTCCTAAAATGAGGGGGAGCCCTGTGAACATGCGGGAGGAAAGACTTCCATGCAGAGTTCCTCAGATGGGATACACAGAGTGCAGGCCAATAACGGCAAACACAGTGGTGGCTGCAGCAGACAGGGATGCCAGAGGAGGAATATGGTGCATTAAGACGTATGCTCAGTGGGCCTTTACAAAAAATATGAATTTTAGTCTAGTAATGGGAAACCATTGGAGGATTATATGTAGGGAAATGATGCTAATTCTATAAAGAGAGTGAGAGAAACAGAGAGAGAAGGG